GTTGGCTCTTTGATCACCTTCCCCTGAGGGGAGAGCAGCCTTCCAAGGACACAAGAGGAAGACCATGCAGCCAGTCCTGACCAGACCTGATAAGCTAGGGTGAGATGGAAGGTGAGGAGGACCTCCCCTATCAGTGGACTTGGAAAGGGGTATGGGAGGAGATGATGGAGGGAGGGTGGGCTGGGGAGAGAATGAGGGAGGGGGCTACAACTGGAATACAAAATGAATAAACTGTAATTAATATATAAAAATAAAAATTTAATTAAAAATAGAAATACATGATTCATGTATCTGTATAAAATTTGGGAAGAATTCATTAAAGAAAACAAAACAATTGTCTAATACTATAGCAAGACAGTCATCATGCAGTTGCATCAATTTCCCTACAGCATAACTTCAGTTTTTATGGTTTAAATATATCTCAGTGTGCATATATACTTTACTGTCTATCTATTCCTCAGCTGATACACAGCTAAGCTGGTTTCATAACTTAGCCTTTGGGAACAGCACCACAATGAGCACTGATGTGCAAATAGCTCTGCGTTGTTGCCTTGACTCCGTCAAGTAGATCTGGTCTTCATTTCTCTAGTTACTTCCATACTAATGTCTATACTAAATGAACCAGTTTTCAGTCCTCTCTACAGTAATTTGTTCACACTGTCAGCAAAATTTGCTATTTTTCCTAGGTTTGTGCCTTTTCATTTTGTTTTGGAGCATGGTAGACTCACTGTTTGACACACAACTGAAGGCAATGATTATCTCTCCCCCAAGAACCTATTATGTACCAATAGTTCGGCAATGAGTGGTAGACTCCATCCAGGCTGTTGATAGGTTCAGTCTTGTGCAAGGACCACACAGGCAGCCACAACTGCTGTGAGGTCGTATTCACCATGGCAGTATCACGCACTAAAGATATTTCACATCTCTTGTTCGAATCTTTTAGCTCTTGCATTCTTCCCAATACCTTTTTACAGTGTTCTCTGTTCCTTAGAAAAGTCAAAGAACTACCACAAGGTGTGTCCACCTGTGGAATTGACCTTAAAGGCATTAGGAAGAAGCTTGATGGAGCAATCAGAAGTGAGAGAGATTAGTTAATAACATGCTGCACAGTGAAGTGTTGCTAAGAGGGTTAATTACACAAATGCTCAGTACCAGAAGCTAAGTGGTCAGATACTGCTCATGACAAATAAGTTGGTTTAGTTGTTAGAAAACATGCATACAAATAAGATATGCAAATTTCAATTGTAAAACATAATTTTAACATGAGCTGTAGGTACTGATGTAAAATGCTGACATTTTCATATTGCTGAGCAAAAACGAGTGTTACATAAAGCATCATTTGATATAAACGGACAAAAGGAACTCACGGAGATTTATTTTTTCCTTAGCCATAGGCACATGGACAAAAGGCTGAGAACCATTGCAAAGGGTGATGGGTCTCAAGTGACTTATTTGCTCTGTCAGATGACATTTGCCATTTCAGAACCGGTTCACCTAAGGGAAGAGAACAGTCATCTTCCCTACTTCAACAATACTCCTGAAAATAGAGACTAGAAGAAACGTTGTTTGCCATTCTATTGGGTTCCCAGTCAGACATCAACACATGATGTCTCCCTGAACTCCACCCATCTGAGGCCATATCCATTATCTCTTGCAGGTTGGTGTCTATTTTCTGAGGCCTTGCCCATGCCAGTGCTGAGGCTTTCAGGCATAGGAAAGATTTGTGACTCAGATACATTTTTTTTTCTCTTTCTTGCTTTGGAGAAAAATAACATTGAAACTGAGGCATATCACACCCCAGCTTCCCACATTGACAAAGTGGGTGCATCCTGGAACCTGCACGTGCCAAGCCAGTTGGCCTATCTCATGTGCATGACAAGAAGTCTGGAGCCCAAGCCCATTCCATGATTATCTGCAGGAAGTACTGCCCACTACATGGTAGCCAGTAACTCCCAGGAAACCAAGAGGCATTCCCTCACCCAGGTAAACACCAGCATAGATTCCTATGTGTAGAGAGACGTGTGCTCTGTAAAACCAAAGTTCATTTCGCTTGGAGAAAACAGTTTTTTCAGGATCCAGAAGTTGCATGCCACAGAAACACCTGAGCGGCCTCTATAGCTTTCCACAGCACAGCTACAAGGAGAGACTGCCCTGGAAACTGCACTGATTCTGGGCCAATGTTTCTCCAGAGAAGTGAGGTTCACACCCTAATAATGTGGAGCCTTTTTACAAACTACCTCATTTCATCCTCATTAAAAGAAGGATTTAGGGCTGGAGAGGTGGCTCAGAGGTTAAGAGCACTGGGTGCTCTTCCAGAGGTCATGAGTTCAATTCCCAGCAACCACATGGTGATTCACAACCATCTATAATAAAATCTGATGCCCTTTTCTGGCATGCAGGTGTACATGCTAACACACATTGTATACATAATAAATAAATAAATCTTTGTCACTCTCATTGCTCTCCTCCTCCTCTTCCCCATCAATTATTTCTATCCTAAAATTTTGAGTCCCCAGGGTACTGATCTGAGGAGCTATATACCTCCTCCAGAGCCCAGTAAAAACTCTCCACTCTGCATGTCCAAGGTCAGTTTTTAGATTCCATGCATAGGTGCAGTTGTGTGGTATTTTGTCTTTGTATGTCTTAACTCACTGTCCTCCAGGCCTGTTGATGATGCTGGTAATGACTAGATCGATTTTTTAAAAGAAAATTCATATTGCATGATGTAGATATACCCCATTTTCTTTACTAATCTTTAGTTGATGAATCAGCAGGTTCATTCTACATTTTTAGCACTGTGAATAGTGCTGCAGTAATCAGAGTGCAGAAATGTTTTGTAGCTGTGGTGTTTTCATTGAGTTCTTAAGTTTTTCTAAATAAAACTACATTCCTCTCTCCTTGGTTAGAGGTTAAATATTTTATGTTTACCTTTCTCTTTTAAATTCACAGGTGAAATTATATGCATCTTTTCTGAAAAATGTTATGATCTGCAATGTTTCTGCAAGGTGGAATGAATAATCAAGATAATTGATGCAAACAAGATTCAATCGTTCATTTTTAATTACTTCTGTTTTATTGAGGAACCTAATACTTATTGCCTAAGTGGCTGCACTGTTCACCATCCCAGCAACAATGAAAAAGAGATCCTTTCTCTCCGAACCTCCACTAGCATCTGTTTTAGCATCTGTGTGTGTGCATGTGTGTCTGTATGTGTGTGGTATGTGTTTGTGCATGTGTATGGTGCATGTTTCTCTCTCTATGTTTGTGTTTATGTGTACATCATGTATGTAATTAGTGTGCATGTGTCCATGTGTCTGTATGTGCCTGAATGATGCATGTGGGTGTGTTTGGTGTGTTGGTACATGTATAGTGTGTATTCGTGCATTTAGTGTGTGAATGCATGTATGGTGTATGTATGTATGTGTGTGTGTGTGTGTGTTATCTGTGTGGGTATATGTACTGTGTGTATGTGTGTCTATATGTATGTGTGTGTAGTGTGTATTTATGTATACATACAGTGTGTGTACAGTGTGTGTGATATATGTAGTTTATATGTGATGTGTAGGTGCACTCTCAGGTGCATGCACAGGTAGAGTCCAGATATCCATATCCTAAGTCTTCTTCTATTGCTCCCTACCATGTATGTGAGCCTCTCCCTGGATCCACAAGCTGTTTTCTTCTTTTTTTTTTCTTCTTTTTTCTTTTCTTTTTTTTTTTCTGGAATGAAGGGTTTATTTTTGTTCCTGCTTTCATGGCATAGAGAAGGAAAGGCATGGCAGTTGAAGCAGCTGAGCCCACTGCACTCCCAGACACAGGGAAAAAAAAAAAACACATATATGCTGCTTCTCAACTTGATTTTTTTCTACATTTTCAGTGCAGGACTTCAGGTTATGGAGTAGTACCAACCACATTAATGTAATCTAATAGTTCATTACTGACTTACCAGAGATTTATTTTCATGATTTTAAATTCCATCAGGTTGACAATCAAGATTAACCCTCAGGACATGTCTTTTGTGCTTAGCAATTTTTGCTACAATCTGCTAATAAATGCATTTTGTAAGGTCAGATAGTGTATAAACTATAGTGGCTGTTTTCTTTATGGACTTTCAGTGAACTATTCACATTTCCCTGGCAGACAGTTATGTCAAGCCTTTTCTCATATGGTTACTGCCCATCCACACTTTTCCTCTGAATAGAATCTATCTGTTTAGTTTTAATGTCCATTTAATTATTGAATTTTTGCTTTTGTTTAATTTCTTAGCTCTTTCTGTATTCTTGATATTAATTCCCTATTGGGTTACTGTGTGAGAAAGATTTTTCTCATGTTCTATAGGTTACTTCTCTCTGTTGGTTATCTCAGACACAGTGAGGAAGCATTTATTTTATATGATCTCATCAATTCCTCCAATTCTTTCCTGGGTGCCCTTTCAGAAATTCCCTGCCATTTGATATTCCTCTGTTGAGAATTCTCTGTTTAGTTCTGTACCCCATTTTTAATTGGACTACTTGGTTTGTTGGTGTTTAAATGCTTCAGTTCTTTATATATTCTGGATACTAGCCCTCTGTCAAATGTAGGATTGGTGAAGATCCTTTTCCAGTCTGTAGGCTGTCATTTTGTTCTGTTGACAGTGTCCTTTGTTTTACAGAAGCTTTTCAGTTTCATGAGATCCCATTTATTGATTATTGTTCTTAGAGTCTTGGTGTTCTGTTCAGAAAGTTGTCTTCTATACCAACGAGTTCAAGGCTCTTTCCCACTTTCTTCTCTAGCAGATTTATTGTGTCTGGTTTTATGATGAGGTCTTTGATCCACTTAGACTTTAGTTTGTGCAGGGTGATAAATATGGATCTATTTGCATTTTTCTATACGTAGACATCCAGTTAGACTAGCACCATTTGTTGAAGATTCTGTCTTTTTTTTCCATTGTGTGGTTTTGGCTTATTTGTCAAAAATCAAGTATCCATATGTGCAAGTGTAACGGCAAAAAGGTGTTGTAACAGCACAAAGAAGGAGGACGAAGAAGAGAAGGAGGACAACAAAGAGGAGAAAGATGAACAGGGGTTGGAGGTGGAAGAGGAAGAGGAGGAGGAGGAAGCTTTCAGACACTCCATGCCAACAACTCACAAGAACCATTCTTGTGTGAGTGCAGGTACCCCGTGTCTAAGTAACTTGTATTTCTGCATGGTCCACAATTCTCTTGGCATGGGAGTGGATGGTAAGAATTTGGGGCAAGAAAATAGGTCTTTAGGTTGGGGAGGTACTAAGACCAAAAGTTGGTGATGTCATTAGGGATCAACAGGAGAGAGTTGAGACTAGAAAATAAATTTGCTCCTATGTAGGAAGTCATAGGCATGAGGTGTGAGCAGCTTTACCTTGTGCCTTTGTGGTATAGCAACCTTTTTCTGTGTTGGGACAGAAGACTCAATGTTATCCTAACCCACCCTGGGATATTCATGGATGTTGTGAAGTTGTGAATGCCCTAATAACATCCAGCTGGTCCAGAGGCATGGAAACTTGATTTCAGTCCCAAAAGGATGAGACTTGTAGTTGGAATGACACTAAATTCTTTGTATCCTCCTGGCTGTCCAGTATTAGTTGTGTAGTGGTCATGAAGGCCAGGGGATCTCAGAGACAACTGACAAATATAGGCAGTGTTTCCAGATTTCTGCCTCCGTCAAAGACTGAAGTCACTAAGGTGACAAAAAAAAATGTGGGAGCATTTTATGTATGTTCAAATTTGGGTATGTTCATACATGCATGTGTATGTATGTAGTGTATGTTCATATGTGCCTGTACATGTGTGCATGTGCTCACATGCACACTCGTATGTGTAGACCAAAGTGTGAGGGTGGGTATCTTCCCAGTTGCTCTCTATTTTCTGAGACAGGGCGTTCCCCTGGATCTAGAGCTAGCTAACTCAGCTAGTCCAGCTGGCCAGATTGGTGCAAGGAAGGGCCTGCCTCTCCTGACTCCCAGCTCCAGTGTTACAGGCCTGAGGCACCACACCCAGGTATTATCTGAGTGCTATAAATGGAACTCAGATCCTCATGCCCTAGCCGAAAGCACTGAACATGCTCCCTAGAAAAAGCACACACTCCAGGGGTGAGAAAAGACACCTCAGCACAGGGATGGGGAAGGGGACATTAATCAAATCTGAAGGCTGTGGCATAAGGATAGGTAATTATTCTTTCATTGTGGTGACTTAACAAAGGATTCTTTACTTCTTTTATTACATCAAAGTGCAGGTTAGAAGTTCAGAGGTGGGCTGGAGAGGTGGCTCAGAGATTAAGAGCACTGATTGCTCTTCCAGAGGATCCAAGGTCAATTCCCAGCACCCACATGGCAGCTAACAACTGTCTGTAACTCCAGTTCCAGGGGATCTGGAACCCTCACACTGACATACAAGCAGGCAAAACACCAATGCATATAACATAACTTTTTAAAAAGGCAGCTCTGGTACTGTCTTCATTTAATATGAAGCTCAGCTGGACATGTCTGCCCACACAAAAAGGTATTACAGAAATTTAGAATATAAGTTCCTGCCTGCTTACTCTTTTATTTAATTATTTTTATTTTGAGACAAGAGTCTCACTATGTAATCCTGGCAGGCCTGGGACTCACAAAGATACTCCTGCCTCTGCTTCCCAGGTACTGAGATTAAAGTCCACCATGCCCTACTAATTTTACATTCATCTTGATTTTCCTTTTTTGTTGTTGTTTTGTTTTGTTTTGTATTGTTTTTCTTTGCCAATAAAATTGGTGGTTGTTGGCTGGTTCGTTTTCATTATCCAGTTCAGGCTGCTGATTCATATTTTATCCTTGTTTGCTTGCCAACTGCACCAGGAGTTTCACAGCAATCTGAGAGGCACCTGAACCAAAAGAAGTAATTTTATCTCAGACATGTAGAGTCAGTGTAGGTCACTGGCTTCCAGAAACCGATTCTTGGAAAAAACCTTCAGGCTCTTACTGAAATAATGACTGAACACTGGCTGTGTCACCTCAGGTGTTAAATGTCATTTTGTGAAGCAACATTTTGTGACAACTTCACTTGAGCCTCTTCAAACAAATGACTGGTTGACAACAGGGACCATTTGTCACTGTCCTTATCTTGGACACTTTCAGTGATTGTTTGCAGTTGCATGTGCATGAGATGAAATCGAACCTGGTACCTGCTCAAGACAAGAAACAAAAAGAATTTGACTGATAAGATTCCCTGCCTCAGCTCAGACTCTGCCCTGTACAGGGAGCAAATACTCCCGTGACTCCAGGACACTCTGGCTCAAACAATACAAGTTCCTTGTACATCAAACAAAGGCCCAAACAGAATATCTTCCCAGTGCCCCCTTTCCTGTCATCAGATGTCATACTTAAAGGGCTTACTTGAACACAGGACCAATTTTTTTCAGAAACTTTTTATGAGGTTATTGTCCAGAAATTGATCGTGCTCAGAAGATTTGGGGAATTCCCACATTGCAGAAAAGATCCCGTGCATTAAAACAAAGGGAACTGTGACAGTTCCACAAAGGAATTCTAGAACAAACACACAGCAGGAGTTATCTTAGGGAGGTGATCTTGTAATGGGTTTTAGTTGATATGCCTAGAGATTTCAAATGCAAATTGAAGTTGAATCAAGGCCATTCCCCATCAGTTCCCATTCTGCTTCCTTTGCGCTGAAGAGCCTCCTTATTCCTGATATTTCTCACAAGGCAGAAGCTGATGAGACCCTGATTATCACTGCTGGAAGCCTACAATGTGACTGAGGGACATACCCAGTCTTTCTAGAAGACCCATCACTGACCCCAGAGTGCAAATGGCTCCTGTGCTGAGCGTACAAAACCCTTCACAATTTCAAAAGCAAGAAGGGTTCCTCCAAAGACCTCACCTTCCCACCCCCCTTGCCAAGCTTGTCTTTCCAAGATGTCTCCCACCTGACATCTTCCCTATATGCAGAACCAACTCACCCTCTTCCTCCACAATGGCATCTTTTTATTTTCCCAGTTTTTGCAGTTACTTCAGGTTATAAATTCACAACCAAGCATTCAGAGATTCGATGCACAAGTAGGAGAGAGTGTGTGCGTGTAGTTTTCAGGGTCTGGGTGACCTCACGCAACATGTCTTCCACTTTTCATCCATTTACCTGCAAACTTCAAGGTTTTATTTTTCTTAAGAGCTGATTATAATTTCATTGTGTCTGTGTTCATCTTCATTTATCCCTTCATCAGATAATATTCAATAAGGTTGTGTCCATTTCCTATCTATTGTGAGAAAACATACATGTCTTAGAAAGTATTATGGGAGTAGGATGTTGAATCCTTCAGGAATGTGCTGAGGCATGGTGTAGATGGTTCATTTGGGAAATCTTCTTTCTAGTTTTTGAGATTTCTCCACACTGATTTTTAGGTTGGCTGCAACAGAATTCACCCTAGGAGCAGTAAATAAGGGATCTTTGGTTTTCCCTAGACCAAATTGGTTGTCATTTGTTTTGTTGTTCTTGTTGTTTGTTTTGTTTTGCTTATTTTTTATTTCAGCCAGTCTGACTGGAATAAAGTGAAATCTCAAAGTAACCTTAGTTTGCATTTCTCTAATTGCTAAGTATTTTGGATGTTTTTAAAGATATTTCTTAGAGATTTTTATTTCATCTCCTAAGAACTCTCTGTTCATATCCAGCCCATTATTTTATTTTTTAATTAAGTTTTTTATTTTTTATATTTATTATAGTTTATTCATTTTGTATCCCAGCTGCAGTCCTCTCCCTCATTTCCCCCTAATCCCACCCTCCCTCCCTCATCTCCTCCCATGCCCTTCTCCAAGTCCACTGATAGGGGAGGTATACCTCCCCTTCCATCTGACCCTAGCTTATCAGGTCTGATCAGGACTGGCTGCATTGTCTTCCTCTGTGGACTGGCAAGACTGTTGCCCACTCAGAGGGAGGTGATTTAATTGGGTCATTTGTTTTCTTCAGTCTTTGATTTTAGAATCCTTTATATAGTCTGGATATTAACAATACATGAGCTGTACAGCTGGCAAAGATCTTCTCCCATTTTGTAGGTTTTAATTTTTCTTGATGAATTGTTTCTTCTTCATTCCAGCCACTTTTAAGTTTTATGATATCTCATTTATCAATTGTTGCCCTTAATTCTTGTGGGGGTGAAGTCCTATTCAGAAAACCCTCTCCTTTCCCATCTTGCCTGAAAATGTAAAATGAAATAGCAATTTAGAGACAACTTGGATGGGGCTTCAAAAATATAAATAACCCTTTTTTTCCAAGGGCTTATTCCGAAGGGAAAACAAAATGTATGCCAAAGCAAAATTCTGTCCACAAATACTCTATCCATAGCAACCAAAATATGTGGAGGAAAAAAAGAATGCATAAAACAAATGTGTGTCCATATAAATAACTATGTTTAGACATACAAAGTATGAAAACATACAAAGTACTGACAGCTGCAACAGTGTGAGTATTATCTGTGTTTTCCTGTAGCATTTTAGCTTTGTAGGTTCCACACCAGTATCTCTGCTCATTAGATGACTTCTGTAATGACAGATATGGATTCATTTTCATTCTCTTTCATGTGAACATACAGGATTTCCCCCTCTTTGTGGGATCCTGCAGCTCAAGGAGCACTGAGAACTGAACCAGAACTGAACCAAAATGATGGTAATTTTAGGGTGACAAGAGGTAGAACCGGGGAGGCCAAGATGGCGGCTTTGGGAGAACACTGTGTCTGAGAAGCGGGACAACACTCTCCATGCAGCGACCAGGAGACTGAACTCTGAACTACAGCGATCCTGTTTCCCAGGTGAGGGGAGGCTCCCACAGCATGGGAATCGTGGGAATCGGTCGGGTCCACTCTCGGGCCACAGAGCCAGAACCCAGAAGAGATCCCAGGTAACACGTGCTTTGGGTCTCTGGGCTGGAGCTGCAAGCCTGCATGTCCCGATCACTTTCCCAGGCTGATTGGTGGACACAAGGGTTCCAGAGACTGAGAGTCCCAGTCGCAAGAAAACCCCACGGGGAAGGAAAGTTGCAAGACTGATCACGGGTCACCCAGTCTTTCCCTGGAAGGTCTCCCTGACCGAGGGTACCCACCGCCATCACAACTGAGCTCCCACTGCGCATGGAGAGCAGCTGTGCGCCCAGCTCAAAATCCCTACTCCTTCTTCAGAGGAGGCAGGAGGCATCCAGCAGAATCTGCCACAGACCACATTGTCTGTACCCCAACCCGAGATCAGGGCTGAGAAAACCCAATCCTTTCAGGCACTCCCCCAAATGCCTCCATAACCCTGCCGCTGCGGAGCGGAAGGATAAAGAGGCGCACAGCGGCTTCACAGTGCCGGGACCCCAGTACTGCCGGCTGCTCCTAGCAAACAAACTTCAGCTCGGGATCTGAGACTGTGGTAAATCAACATGTCCTGAGACTCTCCTGGGTCCAGCGCAATAAGGTCTAGCACCAAGTCCTAGCACCGGTGGCCCCCCGACCCCTGGCAGAGAAACCCCGGCTCAGGATCGGACTGAGAAGGCCCAACCCCTTCTGGCACTCCCCTGAGAGCATTGCCATAAGCTTGCCCTAGCGGAGGGGAAGGTCAGAGGGGAAGGACAGAGAGGCAGCCTGCCAAGGACACAGCACCCTCTCTCCAGCTCACCCAGCGGCCCCTAGCAGAGAAACCCAAGCTCTGGATCTAAGAACACTCAACCCTACCTGGTACTCTCTTGGGATCAGCAAACAAAGGTTCTTCTGCAAGGCTGCTTCTGGCAGAGAGATCTGGGCCCGGGATCTGGGATTGAGAACACTCAACCTAACTCTTTCCCACGCTACCCCAGGACCAGTCAACATAACCCCTCCTGGCAGAGGGAAAGGACAAAGAGGCAGCACACAGGAAAGGTGGACACCGAGTCCTGCGGCCACAGTGTCACAGAGCTGACTGTTAGCCTACCCGTGCACTTTCGCAGCAGGACCAAATCAGAGAGTAGAGAGCAAGGGGAACCCCTGTGCAATCCAACTGGTCCTGCAAGAGAGTGAGTGAGCCTTCTAGGGAGAGTTTGCCCCAGACCCAGGGCCTCTCCACAGAAGCAATAAGATGAGATCCCTGCCACCCACACCCCTACTGTGGGCATCATAGGGATTCTTGGGATAGCGACTCCAACGTTGAAGCCTCTGCCTTGTGGGTCCACCAGTGTAATACAGGCAAACAATCCCTGGATCTCAGACATAACTGCATAATAGTGGCCTGCAAGCTACTGAAATGGTCAAAGAATCCGCGCATGCACACTGTGCCCACTAAAAGCGCATGCAAATAGCGCCAGTGTCACATTCTTTACTTAGGCAAAACTAAAACCACAACGCATACTCCCAAACCAGTGAACCTCTCTCATCTTCCTGAAAAAAACAGTCCAGAAAACAGAAAGAGACGATCATAGCCCAAACTACAAACTCGAGGAACAAACAGTAGGATTATAAATAAGCAGATGGCTAGAGGCAGACATAAGAACACTCCCAACAACAATCAGGACATAATGACCTCAGCAGAAACCCCACAAAACAATAGACACTTCAATTCACTAGAGATACAAGAAACCGACCTCAAAACTATGTTTCTCCAGCTATTAGAGGCCCATAAAGATGAAATGAACAAAGCCCTCAGAGAAATAGCTAAAGAAATCAAGACGAACCAAGAGGAAACAAATCGTGCTCTCAGAGAAATGACCACGAAAATTGAGGCAAACAAAGAAGAAATGCACAAAGCTCTCAAAGAAATGTCCACACAAATGAAGGCAAATAAAGAAGAAATAAACAAAGCTCTCATAGAAATACAGACAATCATAGCCAAAGAAGTAGAGGCGCAATTAGTGATACATAGAGAGGAAACGGACAAAAGAAATAGAAGCTGTCATTGAAAAGCAGGATTCCACATTCAAACAGATGAAGGAAATGGTGCAAGACATGAAAACAGAATTAGAATCAATAAAGAAAACACAAATAGAGAAAAACCAGGAGCTGGAGAACATAGAGAAAAGATCGGGAACTACAAAGGCAAGCATCACCAACAGAATACAAGAGATGGAAGAAAGAATCTCAGGAGCTGAAGATTCACTTGCAGAAATTGACACGTCTCTCAAAGAAAAAATAAAATCAGAGAAGTTCTAAACACAAAGCATCCAAGAAATCAAGGACACCATGAAAAGACAAAATCTAAGAATACTAGGAGTAGGAGAAAAAGAAGACATCAGGCTCAAAGGTCCGGAAAATATTTTCAAGAAAACTATAGAAGAAAACATTCACAACTTAAAGAAGGAGATGGCCATAAACATACAAGAGGCCTACAGAACACCAAGTAGACTAGACCAGAAAAGAAATTCTTCACGTCACATCATAGTCAAAACACTGAACCTACAGAACAAAGAAAAAATTCTAAAAGCAGCAAGAGAAAAAGGCCAAGTAACATATAAAGGCAGACCTATCAGAATCAGAATCACACCAGATTTCTCAACAGAAACTATGAAAGCCAGAAGGGCCTGGACAGAAATCATACAGTTCTTAAGGGACCACAGATTCCAACCCAGACTACTATACCCAGCAAAACTTTCAATCAACATAGACAGAGAATTCAAAATATTCCATGACAAAACCAAATTTAAACAATATCTACATAGTAACCCAGCTCTACAGAAGTTACTAGAAGGGAAACTCCAAACCAAAGAAAACAACTACATCTAAGGAAACAGAGGAAATAGATAACTACACAACAACAACAACAAAAAAAAGGATACAAGCAATGAAATTCAGTGACACCACCAACCCCACATCAAAAGTAAGTAACAATTGTTGGTCACTAGTATCTATCAACATCAACGGACTCAACTCCCCAATAAAAAGAAACAGACTAACAGAGTGGATGCAGAAACAGGATCCAACATTCTGTTGCATCCAAGAAACACACCTATGCAACAAAGATAAACACTACCTCAGAATATAGGGCTGGAAAAATGTTTTTCAAGCAAATGGTTCCAGAAAACAAGCTGGAGTAGCCATCCTAATATCTAATGAAATAGACTTTCCTCTGACATAATCTGATTGGCCTGCTCTTTGATCACCTCCCCCTGAGGGGGGAGCAGCCTTACCAGGCCACAGTAGAGGACAATGCAGCCACTTTTGATGAGAACTGATAGACTAAGATCAGAAAGGAGAGGAGAACCTCCCCTATCAGTGGACTTGAGGAGTGGCATGCATGCAGAAAGGGGAGGGAGGGTGGGATCGGGAGGGGAGGAGGGAGGGGCTTATGAGGGATACAAAATGAATAAAGTGTAATTAATAAAAAATTTAAAAAAATAGACTTTCAACCCAAGTTCATCAAAAAAGAAAAGGAGGGCCACTATATTCTCATCAAAGGAAAAATCCACCAAGAGGACATCACAATTTTAAATATCTATGCCCCAAATACAAGAGCACCTACATTCGTAAATGAAACAATATTAAAGCTTAAATCACACATTGATCTTAATACCTTAATAGTGGGAGACTTCAACACTCCACTCTCACCAAGGGACAGGTCAACGACACAGAAAACAAATAGGGAAATAAAAACACTTACAGAGTCCCTAAATCAAATGGAACTAATAGACCTCTACAGATCTTTTCATCCAAACTCAAAAGAGTATACCTTCTTTTCAGCACCTCATGGAACCTTCCCCAAAATAGACCATATAGTTGGTCATAAAGCAAGCCTCAACAGATACAAAAAGATTGAAATAATCCCTTGTATTCTATCTGACCACCATGGACTAAAGCTGGACCTCAACAACAACAGAAATAACAAAAAGCCGACACACACATGGAAACTGAACAACTTGTTACTCAATGACAGCTGGGTTAAGGAACGAAGAAAGAAAGAAAGAAAGAAAGAAAGAAAGAAAGAAAGAAAGAAAGAAAGAAAGAAAGAAAGAAAGAAAGAAAGAAAGAA